AGGATCAAGTATGTGTCTCACCAGACTTCACACATGTTCCAAAGAATACATATATGTCCAGAAAGACCGCGTAGACCCTCGACTCTTGGCATGCCAACTATACCCCTAGCTCTCAAGACACATAACATGGGCATTTTCTTTTATACTTATCATTTCACATAACACATGGTTCAATTACTCATAGAACATTTTCATATGAGTCACATTTACATGTCACATAGCTTATATACTTTCTCACGTAGTTACATAGATCCATATCATATAACATATATCCCAAAGTGCATATAATCACATATATCATATCATATAGCTTAGATCATTTCTCAGATATTCATATAAACATACATATCATATCTTGTTCACATATGATCATATATGCTTCATATAACACATAGAAACACCTAGAACACTTTCTCATAGCTTATATCAATTTTCAGAGTCCTTTCATATTACCTGATGACATATATCATATAGGTATATAATAACTGATATCATATCATCTACCTTATGCTCCATTTCTTTGTATTCCTTTAGATTATATAAATTATATCGTATCTCTAAATATATATCATTATAATCTTTTCATATCGCTCCATAGCTATTTAGCATATAACTTATCTTGCATATTCGTATCGTCCCTTTATATTCAAGTTTCCTAATTGATATACTATTTCCATTTCATTCTATAATTCAATCTTATTTAGTTCCCTTAACTCTCATTAAATCAAAAAGCTCTATTATACTAATTCTCATAATAAATCATATCACTATGTACTTGTCCAACTCATGTTTCCATTATGCATATATTGTTACCCATGTTTACCTAGTTCATATCACTTCTCATGAACTCACTTTCTTCATATTTTCCTATTATTGCATATTTTATCTCATAACCATGTATTCACATAGTCTTATATTTCATTATCATATTACTTATATTTGTTCTCCTATGACTCTTTATAAACATCTATTTTCCATTTCCCTACATCTCTTGACTTATCTTCTATATTCCTATAATTTCATAACTTATTTTATATTCTCTCATTAACACTTAATCATGTTTTTACATAAACCACATGTCACATACAAAACATATCAATTCAGATAATCAAACATACATACACTCATATTCAACTCATGCCTTTAATCATGAATTCATATGTAACACTTCAGGAAATAGGCTCATCTCAAGTCTTATTCCCATCACACACCATATACTATTGAATATGCACTCACCTGGTCTCATTAGTCAATCTCGATCTCTAATCTTTCCCCTGATCGATCTTACTTGCCAAATGTTCCAGAATTGCCTTATGCTCAGAATATACATAAATGTACATTTTAAGGCAATTATTAGATACCTACACCTTGTAATTGGATACTAGCAACTTAAACGAACTTATTAAACCCATATTCATAATTTTCCTTTAGGGGGTATCGATTCCCTACTGGGGGTATCGATACCCTCATGACATTCTGGAATTCTGTCGTTTGAGAGGGTATCGGTACCCCTTTGAATGGGTACCGATTCCCCCTAACCCATAAATCATTTTTCAGCACGAAAATTACTTCATTTCCCCTCAAACACTTCATATATCATCCCCTTTCTTATTCTTAACTTACATATACATGCTTAAACTCATTACTACTCATTCAATACATCTTTAACTTCAAAATCTAATTCTCTACATAGAATTCAAGAATCACACTAATTTTTCTTCTTGTTCTAAATTCAATTCCATCACTTCATATCTCTTAATTCAACCATTAACAAGTCAAATTTATCTTCCAATTTGAGTAAAGAACTCTATTCCAGAATTTCATTCAAAAACTCTTAATCTTTAATCCCTCCTAATTCCACCATCCTTTGTTTTTAAGATGATTTAAGCTTTCTTTAAGCTTAATTATCATCCAATAATCATAACCAAACCTTTAGTTGAACAAATAATCAACTAATGAAGAAACTTACCTTTGCTTATGGCTTCACGGTGGAAAAGAAGAGAATGAATAAGAGAAGTCTGGAACTATCTCATATTTCCCACGTTTATAATACTCAAAAAGAAAGATAAAAATCTTTCCCATGAAAAGACCAATTTGCCCCTTTAGTTCATCCATCTTTGCTATTTAATCCAATATTAAAATTCTTTACTTAAATCCCAAGACTTTTAAACTTCATTTCTAAATTGAACAAAAAACTTTCAAAATTTACAATTTAGTCACTGACCCTGATTTGGGATGTTACAGCTATTTTGATAAATATTTTTAAAATGATGCCTAATATATAATTAATTTCTGTTAGGGTGATATTTGTATAAAAACGTCAACTTTATTTATTTATTTATTTATTGTGTGATATTATTGTTTAACAATATTTAATAATGTTTATTGACTTTTAAAATTAATTGTTAAAAAAATTAAAATATTAAAATAAAATTTTAATTACAATTGAAAGATCAAATGAATTATTATTTATTTTTTTAAATCAATAAAAATTAAATAAAAAAAGTTAATAAAATTCAATAAAAAATGAATGTAAAGCTGAAAAATATCACATCTTTATTGAATGACCATTTTTCTAATATTAATTTTAAAAAATTTAAAATAAATTTAAAATTCTAATTTTATTAAAAATGAATAAACATTATTAACTATTATTAAAAATTAAAAATTAATGAATAATAATTCATTTGATCTCTCAATTGTAATTAAAAGATTATTTTAATATTTTTTATATTTTTAAACAATTAATTTTAAAAGTCAATAAGTTTTTAAAAATATATATGAAATTTATAATTTTTTAAATTATAAAATATTTATTATTATCATAATCATCATTTTGTAAACGAAATACTAATTATAAAACTTTTATAAAATTATTTATATTTTAAAATACTTACCCTCAAAGTTTTCCTATACTAAATTATAAGTATTGTGTAATATCATGCAAAAATCAAAATAATTGTATTAAAAATGAATAAATATTATTAATTGTTGTTAAAAATAATAATTAATGAATAATAATTCATTTGATCCCTCAATTGTAATTAAAAGTTTATTTAATATTTTTTATATTTTTAAACAATTAATTTTAAAAGTCAATACATTTTTAAAAATATATGAAATTTATAATTTTTTAAATTATAAAATATTTATTATCATCATCATCATCATTATTTTGTAAAAGAAATACTAGTTATAAAACTTTTATAAAATTATTCATATTTTAAAATATTTACCCTTAAAGTTTTCCTATACTAGATTATACGTATTGTGTAATTTCATGCAAAAATCAAAATAATTTTAGTAAAAATGAATAAAAATTATTAATTGTTGTTATAAATAATAATTAATGAATAATAATTCATTTGATCCCTCAATTGTAATTAAAAGTTTATTTTAATATTTTTTTATATTTTTAAATAATTAATTTTAAAAGTCAATAAATTTTTCAAAAATATATGAAATTTATAATTTGTTAATAATAAAATATTTATCATCATCATCATTTTATAAAAGAAATACTAGTTATAAAACTTTTATAAAATTATTCATATTTTAAAATATTTACCCTCAAAGTTTTTTTATACTAGATTATATGTATTGTATAATTTCATGCAAAAATCAAAATTTATGAGTTGTGAAATAATTTGTAAAAGAATATTTAAAGATTTTAATCTAAAAAGTTTTTTTCACACAAAAAAAAATAAAGTTGACGTTTTTACATAAATATCACCTTAACAGAAATTAATTACATATTAGGCTCCATTTTAAAAATATTTACAATACTAACATACGGTTTTTTACACGTTTTATAAAGCACGGTTCATGGGTCGTACTTTACCCCACGAGGCTTCAAATCAACGTAAGACGCGATACATGGATCATGTCTTCCTATAAAAATATTAGATCGATAAATAAAAATAAAAATATATCTGACAGATAAATAAAATACGTCAAGGTGATTTTTAGGTGTTATCGCCCTCAAATTCCCTATAGTATCCTTTCACAAGACAATAACTGACAACCTCGTCCCTACACCACACGAAATGTCCAGTTCACAGTAGCAAAGACAATGATGAGCTCAAAATAATTAGAAAAACACACCCAAAGCTCCAATTTCGAAACACAACCATCTATCAAATCATTGCTGATTATATGTATAAATATTCTTTCCTATACAACTTAGCCTTTAGACTTCACTAGATTTTCCAAGTCCCTCCACTTGCGCTTTGTTGTGGCCGTACTTTATCTCATCATTTCAAATGTATTGGCCTAAAAAGCTTTGGTTAATCACCTAATTAAATTGCATTTACTAACTAATAAACAATTCTTACTTTAAGTTTCAAATTAGAATACATAAATAAATTTCAGCAATAAAAATAAATATTTTTTTAAAGATTTTAGATTCAAAGAATTATATCTATAAAATATTTATATGTATAAAATATATTATTAAATAAATTTAAATTTTATAAAACATATAGAATTTTGATGTAAATTTTGTAAAAAGTGAAGAACAATTTGACACAATAATTTAAAGTGATTCAACTTTCTCGATAAAATTTACATCCATTACCTTAACTATTCACACTATTTTTCTTAATTTACTAATTTGATATGAGAATGTGAAATCTTATAACTCCGTTAATATTTATACCTCAAAATCTAAAGACTACACATCCTCAAAGAGATCATACATCTAGCAAATTACGAGACACTCGTAACGCAATTTGTTTACACGGTTAAGCTCAAATACACTCAAGAACACTTGGAGAAGAAAGAATTACAGATGATAAATTATGAAAGAAAGTAGGTAAATTACAAATGATAAAGCAATAAAGTTGGCTAACCCAAAAGAAAACTTATCAAAGTATAGAATAGAAAGCTCCATTTTATTAGCAAAGGCAAGATTTGAAAACCCTTTGAAAGAATATATACACTACCACTCACCTTCTTCTATCCTAATGCAGTGGATTGTTTCACAACAAAATGAAATGGAAACAACAAAAAGAACTAGTTTTTGAAGTTTTCAAATTTTCAAACATTCATGAACTTGGTAACATGACTTGTTCATTCGTACTCCACTCATGCTGTTTCTTGCAGCCATGATTTCATCTAGCGAAAGCCTCTTCTTTGCTCCTGATTCCGGCCTTTGCTTTGGGGCACTGTAAGATCTTAACTTGGCCTTAAACGACTGCGTGTTCGTCATATAGTTCGGGAAATTCGAATACGGCCTAAAATAGCCATCTCCGCACACACTCTTAGCCGGTGTCGAAGGAGCATCGGACTGAGTTGCGTTGGCAAAACGAGGAGTATTATGAGCACTAGCAAACCTACATTCGTCACGGCCTGGAAAGAACCACTCGAAATCATTAAGATTTTGGCAACGGTGTAACGATGTTCGGGCCGGATCCACACGTTGAAGAGGTAATGAGATTGTTTGGTAAGTCAAGTCATCCCCACATTCGGATAACGCGACGTTGAACCGGTGAGACCTTGATCGTGGCTTATACGTATCGATTTCAACTATTTTCGGGTCGTCGTCGTACGCATTGGTATCAATTGGTTTGGAGAGTCTTTTGCTCTGAAATTCACTTCTCGTTTCATCAATTCTTTCCTGAAAATAAAATGAAAAGCATCAATTAAAGCAACTAAGCAACACAACATTAGAATAAAATGCGTTAGGGCAATGCTACTCACAATCGATTTCCATGACCGGTTTTCGGGATAGTACCGATTCTCCTTGTTGAAGGAGCGACGTAATCGTCGAGATCGAACCTCCGATTGTGCTCGGATAAGAGCTTGCATACTGTGGAGAGTAGCGGCGGCTCTCTTCCTTACAAGATAGCGTCTAACAAGAGCTTGCAGTCTAACAAGTCCTTTCAATGCTCTAAGTGCTTTCCGAGACTAAAATGTATAAGCAAATTAGAGTTTAACAAAGTGACCTATGATAGACATTTAAATTACTCAAATTAACCGATTAATAAATAGAATACTAATTATTATAAGAAAAACTTACCAGATAGCCTCTAAACACAGTTTGAATTTTAACAGCAGCCCACTTGTCTTTCCCTCCGCCAAAGAGAGCTCCTTTGGCATTGCTGGTCAGTCTAACAACGGTGGCCGCCGCTTGAGCAGCCACCATCGCCGCATCAGCGGCTGCGGCAGTGGCAGCAGCCACGGCTAATGCATGCTCCTTCTGGGTTTTCTGGAAAAACGTCAGCCAAGCAGCATCCGTGGAGGGAAAATCATTTCCTACGTTGAATGGAATCTGAGAATTCGCATCAACACCTTTTCCGGGCTTGGCGAAACTCCACCGCTTTTTGTCTCTCTTGTCGTGCAAAACCGATGGGTTCTGTTCTTTCTCCTTGTCCTTTCTCATGCCCAACACCGCCTTAAGCCACCGTGTAGCCTTCCCCATTTCTTTCACAGAGAAACAAAGAGTATCAAAATGGATTCCTTTTCAATGTTGGAATTATTTTTGAGTTTGCAAGTAGATAAGCAGTGGGGAGGAAGAACATTTAAATGAAGAAAACAAAGGCATAAAAGCTTGGATTTTAGTTTTGAAACGAAAATCTGACAGAACCTCGTGAAGTTCTACCGTTATAAAGACAAAACAGTAAGGTGCCCAGATAGGTAACATGTTTTTTTATATACGATTAATTGGTAAGAAAAACAAAGAATTACAGAAAATTTTCATTAAAATAATAAGCGAGAAGAAACTCAGTCTCACCTTCTCAAATTCAAAAAGAAGCGCCGGGTTCAATATCTCTAACCCTCGGTATATATAAAAGGATTTCTCTCTCCAACTTTGTGGAGCAAGGTGTATAAGAAATTTTATACAAATGAAAACTACAATACACTCTCCATGACCGCAATATTTTATTTAATAATTAAATAAATAATACTCTATATAAGACTAAATAAGATTTTGTGTCATATTAATAGAATAAATTTATAAAAAATTTAAAGATCCAAATAAATTATCACTAAATTATATGAGAATTTAAAATTTTATTTTGTCAATCCTTCCACCAATCTATGATCTTAGGTTCATATTTTTTATAAGAATTGAAGATTTGATATTAAATTTTTAAATATATTATGTATTTAGTCATTTAATTATCATTTTAGTTTTATTTTGGTCATTTAATTTTTTTTTAAATGTTCCTAACGTTATATTTTTGTTCATTTTAGTTGCTTGTCGTTAAAAAGCTAACATGACATTAAAAAAAAATCAATGTTGACATGTCATTATCCTATGTCTACACATTAACAAAAGCGTAAATCTTTAATAATATATGGCCAAAATAAAATTGTGATATAAAGTTAGTGATAATTTAAAAAAATGGTAAAAACGCATCAGAGATCCTTGTATTTTTGGGAAAAAAATAATGTGACCCTCGTATTATTTTTATCTCAATGTAGCCCTCCAACTCATAAAACAAACCCAATGTGGTCCTTTGAGCAACGTTTTTCGTCGTTGATCGTTACGGTGCTAATGTGGTAGTTCTTGTATTGACATGTCGGTCCACGGTGTTAACGTGACAATCCATGATAGTTGATAACGTAGCGGATAACATGGAAAATGAGTTAAATTGATAATTCAAACATGGCAGATGGATTGTCACTCCAACACCGTAGGTCGTCGTGTTAGCATCATGAACTGTCATGCCATTATCGTAACGATCAACGACGGAAAAACGTCGATCAAATGACCACATTAGATTTGTTTTATGAGTTTAATGGTCACATTGAGAGAACAAATAATACGATAGTCACAATAGTTTTTTTCTTCAAAAATACACAATACCGTTGATGATTTTTGCCAAAAACATAGTTGAGTGACTAAAACGAAACTAAAGTAATAGTTCGATAGTGAAAAAGGTAGTTAACCATAATATTTTTTTCTTGATCCTTGATAAATTTATAAGACATGAAAGCAAAAGGGGTTGATTACAGTTAGGTTAAAAAGGTCTGAAGAAGAAAAGAAGATTCGGTTTCCTATATACTTTTTGTGGCTCTACCATTCTTCTGCAAAAAAAAAAATCTCTGTTTGGAAAAGGTTCCTCCACACTTTTAATCTCACATTTTTTCAGTGAGACCAATAAATAAGAGAGAGACTCAGGTCATATCAATTAGACTTTTTAAATTACTTGTAAGAAACTGACTCAGGGTTTTATTTTTTACTGAATTATAAAGAATATTATTCAGTTACGTATTTATTTATTTATTTATTTCAATATTATCTTAATTTTCGGTATTAAATGCTATGGAATGTTAACGTTCGGTAAACCAAAAAAATTTTAAGATGTATTTTTAAACAGTTAAAAATTATAATTAATCATCTATTGATACTTGACATTTGACAATGATAAATTATTATTTTTTCTTCCGTTGGGGTTTTTTCTTTCAAATTTTGAATTTGAGATGCAGATCTAAGCTTGTTGTTTGGGTTTGAATTTTGAATGATTTCTGTTCAACAAATTCTCATGATGTTGACGATGATGGTGATAGAAAAGGAAAGAGTTTTAGGACTTTGAATGATCTTGCAGTATTTTTGAATTAGTATGAGTGAATTTAAAGTCTATTTATTGTTTATATTCAAAATATTCGATATTGATCATCCCTAATTCAGACCGATAAAGTTCAAATCTCATAAACCAACTTCGTACTATCATCACAAAATGCTTAATTCTTTAAGGAAAATAGGATAATATTTTAGGTTAAAATCGAAAGTTATGTATCGTTTATAATAAATTATGTGCATTGTATAACTATTTTGATTGAAATTTAAAAAGTCGTGTTAAAAGATTCAGGGTAAAAAACGCAAATGGTTCCCCGATTATAGGGAACTATTTTATCAAGTCTTTTTACTATTAATGGTTATAAAATGATCATTCGACTGTAGAATGTTACTTTATTGAGTCCATTGATTATTAAAAGTTACAAAATGGTCACCTGACTATTCATTATGTTCCAAACTCGTCATTTTTCATTACAAAAATGGACGATATTCTGAGTTGATCATTAATTTGTTGATTGCAATATGATAAAATTTGATCACAAGATCTCAAACAATTGTCATATCTCAATCATCATGTATTCATGTTAACATCCAACTTAAACAACCACCAATTTCTTAATGGAATAGGACGAGTCTGCAACATAACGAATAGTCATGCGACAATTTTGTATCTTTTAATGGTTGAGGGGTTCAACAAAGCAACACTTCATAGTCAAAGAACCATTTTATAATTTTTAATAGTAGAGAGACTTAATAAAGTAATACTCTATCGTCGAAAGAGATTTTCATTCTTTACCCAAAACTTTATCTAACATTATCAGTTATAACCAAAATTATTATGAAACTTTTAGAATAATTAGGATAACATCTTAAGTTAAAATTCACATCAAATTAACCTTAGATTTCCCTATCGACAATACGTGACCTATCCATTGGCAAGTGGAACATGTGATATGTTATAGTCTCAAAATTTGGGGCTCATACTTTGAAAAATAATTATTTTTCCTTGAAAAATTTTAACAAAAAAACTTTCTAATTTAATCCCTTATTATCTCAATAATTCAATTGTAACTAATTGTTCCAAAAAATTACCAAAGTTATGGTATTTAACGGATAATTGTTTTTAATTATATCAATCTTTACCCTAATTTCAATGTTTTTAAGTTTTGATATTTCATAATTTTATTTTCTTATAAAATATTTTAGAAACGCTATTTTAAAAAATAGCACGGAGCTAATATCTTTTGGGACAAGCATGTGTATTGCATAAATTTTAGCCATCATTTAATTTTTGAAAATATATTTTTTATCTTTTATTTTCAAAAATTAGAAAAATATGTTTAATAAAATAAAATAAATTGTTTTAAATAAAAAAATCATATTTTGTTTCTATTTTCTTATAGTGAAGACCCCCAAAATTTAATAAAATATTCTTATATTTATATGTGTTCGAATTAGAGTTAAATATAAGTTAATTCATTATATTTAAAATGATTTGTTTTTAACTTTTTCAATTTTAAAAATATTTTGAAGAAAAACAATGAATGTAACACACACATTAATTTTTACATGTTTTTATTTTTCAAAAGTATTTTTTAAAATTTTCAGCTAATTACGTGTTATTAATTGTTTTCCGTTTTCTATGAAAATATCTAAATTTTTTAAACAAACGCAACTTCAACCTTGGAAACGAGCATTCATGATCACTTCAAGACCGTCATACGCCCCTTTAGTATGGTTCTGTTTTAATCATTCAACTTTCAAAAAATTTAATTTTATCAAAAGCTAAGCAAAATAAAATTATTCTTTTGGTTACAAGATAGAAACTTGTCAGGGATCAAACCAACAAAAAGACAAAGAGTAAACTATATGTCTAGTCATCCAATTTTTAATATGTTTATGTTTTGATTACTCAACTTTCAAAGTTTTAATTTTATCAATAGACTTTTAAATTTCATTAATTTTGATCACTCAACCGTTGAATGTTTAATATCAACACCAAAATGTTGTGTTTGGGGCCTTTTATTTATGAAATTGACATAAAATGTTAACCTATTCTTCTTTCATGGGATTGCATCCTTCTCTACCGTTTCTTAACAATCGTTGACCATCATTTTGTAACGTAAATGGTACAAAAACATTCCCCCTTCTTCTCGCTTTCTTCTTTTTAATTTGACTTTCCTTGAAATCTTCTCAAAATCTACAAAACTCGAATCAAAGCTTAATCTTGGTATAATCTGTAATCTTCATTACTTGTTGACATATAATCGAGATATATTATTTTTCTCCTCCTTCTTAACTTTCTTATTGTTCCGATTTGGAAGAAAATACCATGACATTGATGATTCAAAGAGAGTCCAAAAATATAGGCTTGAGAGAATTCACTACAACAAAATGAGACTATAGCTGCGTTTTTTAGTCTTATAGCGGCGTTTTTAAGCGCAACAAAAAATTTTCCCACATAAAAAAAAACGCCGCAAGAAATGTTGTGAAAACTAACTCCGCAAACATTGGTTGTGTTTGCAAATAAAAAGCGCCACAATAGGTTCAGACATTTAGCGGCGCTTTTTACAAATGCCGCAATAGGTTCATACATTTAGCGGCGTTTTTCTTACAAATGCCGCAATAGGTTTAGACATTTAGCGTTGTTTTTATTATAAATGTCACAATAGGTTCATATATTTAGCGATGTTTTTCTTACAAACGCCACAATATGTAGGTAATTTAGTGGCGTAATTGTGTAGTCCATTAGTGGAGTTTTTTTATCTTAAAACGCCACAAATGAAACTTGCCTTGCAAATGTTATTTTCTACTATTTATTAACCAAATTTAATATCATGTAGTAATATCCAATAACAACAACCTTAAAATTTTAATTACAACTCAAATTAAGTAAAAATAATTGACAT